TTGATTTAAAACTATTGGTTAAATAAAACTGACTACAATCAATTACTGGAAGGAGTAGAGGTAGGTGGGTTAGGAGTGACCTGGTTGGAGGAGGGGAAACAAGAGGAGAAAGAGAAGAGGAAAAAGAAAGCTGCAATGAGGAGAGATGGACCATGAGCCAGGAGAAACAGCAAGTATCTGTGGTACATCACTGAGGAGGTAGGAAGGCCAGCAGTTAGATGAGCAGATTAGGGGTTACTCCCCAAGTAATTTTCGAAGCCAAATAAAGTAACCATAGTCTGAGTCTCATTTATTTGAAACGTAGTCAGGGATAAGCTTAAATTGCTTGTTTTATGATTATCATAGTCAATTTCTAGACTCATGAAGTGCGTGTGTGGCCATGTGCTTACATTACAGATGAGGAGGCCAACTTAAAATACTTAAGTTCAATATCACAGAGACAGTAAAATGTAAAATTGGGTAATGGAATCAAGCAGCCCAACCATACACAATAACAAATAACAAAGAATTATTCTCAAGTATAGGTTTATCTGCCATTTTTTCTCTAATGTCTGTCTGCCATATTATCTGTTACCAAGAACTGGGGGTGAGTATAACTATATAAGAGAAGAGAGATGTGTAAAGTAACAGTAACTCTGTATCTTGACATAAGTGAATATATACTTATGGAAACAATATAAAATAAATATGCAGAGCACACACATACACATGTAAATATAAAACATAAAATTTATTAAAATTTAGCAATGACAACATCCTTGAAGGTGGTATTATGCTATAATTAACAAGACGTAACCAAGAGCAAGCGAGGCTCTATGGTGAAGGGCAGAAGACGTACTATTCACTCCAACTTCCTGCAATTATCTCAAACTTTAAAATGTTGGTCTGGATGAGTTAGTGCATGCTTTTAATTTTAGCACTGGGGAGTCAGAGGCAGGCAAATCTTTTTGAGTTTGAAGTTAACCTAGACTATAAAACAAGTTACAGGACATCCAGGTACAAATCAAATTCCTATCTCAAAAAACTGAAATCAAAACACACTCCCTGCCAAATTAAAAACAATCAGAAAAATAAACACACACACAAACAGATACAAACACACACACACACACACACACACACACACACACTTAAACCATAACAACCAAACCAAACAAAACAAAATACAAGAAGAACCAGTCACCCTCAGTACTAGTGTTCACTATCTAGAAGCAATAATCGCTCTGGTATTCTTTATATGATTTTTTTTCAAGCGAAAATGCTTAACTTATCTACTATACTGCTATGATTTTTAAGAAGTCTCCATAAATCTAAGCTATATTAATAGATATGAAACTTAAAATATAAAAAATATTTTAAAACACTAAGTTTTAACAACTGACCACTTGAGAGGAAATGTAGGATCCTTGCTGCTCTGGAAAAATCTTCCCAGTTGTGGAGACAAAAATGGAGATCAACAGAGCACCAGCCTCACATGCAGGCAAGCTTGCTGGAAAACATGGAGACTTGAAACACAAAGGTTGACTGAAGGCAACCACGGCAACGTAAATGAGAAATGTCTCATGTAGTCCTAAGCATTTGAACCTGTGTTCTCCAGTCCATGGTCCTGTTTGGGAAAGCTTAGGATTCTTGGCCTTGCTGCAGGTCATCACTTGGAAGAGGCTTCGAGATTTAAATGCTCCAGTCCCTTTCAGATCATTCCCTGACACTTGCTCAAGATTTGAGACAAACCAGGAGTGATGCTCTGCCTCAGCCACAAAGGTACCAGAGGTGGTACCCAATCTGCAGTTGTTGTTTATTTTGTCCACAACAGACTCATTTCCTTCCTAATATTTGATAACCTTGTCTTTATTTTGAAAGGTGCCTTTCCAAATATACTATCTCACATACAGGTAACCATAAAGATTCCTATATAATTTTATAAATATTGCAAACAGTCAACAATATTTTGCCTTATGAGTGAAGACCTTTTAAGTAAGAAGCATCTTAAAACAAACTCTTTTATTTCATTTAAGCCCTTACCACAAGAGACATGAACTGAATAAATATATATATCGCTTGAATCATTAGCTGCATGCCTGTTTAAAGACTGATGAAACAGCAGTTAGTACAGCTAGAACTCACAGGAAACCGATAGGGAGAATATCAGATCACTGGCATACAAAACCAAGTCATCAAAGACAGTTCTCAGCACACTGGACTCATGCTGCCTATACTGGAGCCTCACAAGAGGCAGAAGACAGACTCTGAACCTGTAGTCATCAGGTTGAAGCACTGAATTCTTCAAAGAGAATTCTAAGTGCGCCCCAGTAGAGAACAGAAAACAACAGAAACCTTAGAAGACAGTTAAATAAACTTATGATAATATGTCAAAATACTTACATGTATTTAAAAATTTTCTCCCATGAACATTATTCAGCTCACAGCCTTCAATATATCCGTTCTCAGGGGATTCAATGCCATCTTCTGACATCCATGGACAATCATACATGCAGACAAAACATCCATATTCTTAAAATAAAAAACATAAATAAAGCATTAAAATAAAAAAGAAATACATTTCAAGAAAACATGAAACCCAGATTAAAAATTGAAGCTATAAAAATTTTATCTAGAAATGGCATATTATCTCCAAATATAAAATAGAGCCTGAGCATATACAACTATAGAAAAATGTACCTAAGTCTTTTAAAAGAAAAAGAACCTGACTTGGTTTCATTTCAAAAATAATTTAATATCGTATTTTAAAATATTATTGATTGCATTAAATGTATAATAAATATTTATTTTTATGTTTAAATCAATATTAAGTCTTTTCTTATGTTTGAGAGAAATGTGTTTACTCATATTCTATATTCTATATGCTTGGGTTGCTGAGTAGTAATCCTGTTATTATTCCATTCACATAAGAGGTCAAAATCAAAGTATTTATTTATGACTGCTAAAGATTTCTATAAATCAAAAAAGTTGATCATACATGTAAAATCATCTCCCCAATATCCAGCTACCTAAAATATTGTGGAATATTTATGAGTGGTGGAAGAATGGTGTAATGTGTATTTTTTGGTTAACAGGCAGCACTGACTGCATATATCCTATAGGACCTGACAACTGTGGAGAACTTGGTTATTCTCCTCCTCTGTCTTAAGCATTTAGCTAATGTCTCTCCTCCAGTGGCTGAAATTTGACTCACTTTACCTAGAGTATACAAGATCTGCACAGTTGGGTGGCTTACACTTAGTTCAGTGCTGTGCTTCCAAAATGAATCTTTAAAGCGTATTCTGTTTTACGTTTCTCTCCCAGACTGCCAGCCATTGAAGTAGCCTTGTATCCATTGCTTTAACTCCTGGATTCATGAAAATTCTTCTTTTACTCATACAGGTTTTTCATTGGTGTGTAAGATTCAGCAACTTAATAATGATATATTTGGAACAGCAGGAGATGTTTCATATATATATATATATATATATATATATATATATATATATATATATATCATCAGCTCCAACCGGTTAAAAGAAAATTTACAGCACTCTGTTGTCTCTAAAGTAAACGAGCTGGCAATCAATTTTCTTAGCAAAATTAAAGCAATACACTATGATTAGCTAGAAGAAGGCCTGTGGTTTTTTTCCTCAATTCATAATGAAAACAACTGCTCTGGTCTAAATAGATCATGAGAAACATGGTTTAGCTAAAACACTAAAGGAAAGATTTATTCTGTGTTAATCAGCACAGCAGAAAAATTCTAATTATCTTATCTGGTTAAGATTTAGAGACCTTACTTTCTGCTGATGTGGTTCACTGTAATGTCTCCCGCATGCTTAATTGCACAGTAGGGTATCCGTCAGTCAGTCCTTCAATGAGAGGATGGTTCAAGTATAGATGGATACTCAACTTCCTTAGACTTTGCTTTTTGCAGAATGCAAATTAATGGAGAGATGGTCATGTAAACTCGACTATGTTCCAAGGTTTGGAGACTGTTGTTAGAGCATTGATTGTTCAATAAAAAGGCCACTTCCTCGGAAAGACTGTTCACGTGGCTTTTGCTAACGTGTTCATTTGTTTCCCCCTAAGATGTGTGATTTCACCTTTCACCTTTCTTTCATTAAGACTTAAAAGAAAACTTAATGTCAAACAGATTCATTTAAAGAAACTCTAACACTCATGGGCAGAACCTCAAAGGCTTTCTACCATGATTGCAAGCCACACCCACATTGCCAGGCAACTCTTAGTCCCTCATCCAATCAGAGTTACCCAGCATGCTGAGACCCATGCTTCATTCTTCCATCACTTCCACCAAAGCTGCGATTGCTGTCTTTGTTATATTTATTGTAAATTATTCATTCTTGAGATCTAATTCTGATGCTGTCTTCACTTGCTGAAGTCTTGGCTTAAGAACTTCTACCTGCCCGGTTTCTCCCCTTGGAACTCACTGATCCTGTGAATCATGGTTGCCAGTGTTCATTCAATAGCAATTGATAAACTTCTAGTAAAAAGAGCTCCTGCAACAAAGGAAGGGAGCTTATTGGAGCAGATAGTCATTAAAGAATGGCATTGCTATATGTTCATGTGGATCCAGGTCTCTGTGTTTTGTCCATGACTCTACCTTTCATTTTTTGAGTGCTTTTAAGTCTCAGCGTCGTCATTTCCAAGGAGATGGGGGTCATTTCCCACCACCACTCCTTGTTTACTTTCTATTTAGAAGGCCATATCGTCTCTTCTTGTTGGATTTAACAAAGGTTTAGTCAACATTATCCTGCTTTGAGTTGTATTCCACACTGCAGGAGACTGACCCTGTAAGTGCCCACAGATCAAACGCCTGAGATTGACCCCAATGAGATCTATGAATGGAATGAGAGAAAAGACAGAATTAGCAAATTCATACACACTAGTTTCTTAGCAACAAGAAGTGGTAGAGAGAAACTTTTGTGTAGCTGAGAAAGAAAAAGCAAGCTGTAAAAACAAAAGAGACAGCAATACCTCCATCCCCACCCATCCCCACCCTCAGCAATTGACAAAGAAACACCTTGCTGGTGATGGGGTTCTTCTATCAGTCAGGGGCAGAGCAGATGGCAGTCCTTTGTTCACCACAGCTTCATGCCTGGCTTGGTGGCCAAAGCTGTTTTATGCCTAGGACACATAAAAATCAAATCAATTCATATCCAGGTAGCAGAGTGAGGAAGGAGGAAGACAGACAAAGACCTGCAGACCACCATGCCACCCCACAGATCTGCCCTCAGCACACAGCACAAACAG